AGAGATTTTCTTCTGTAGTTCTAAACACAAAGGAATGCTGTTTGAATAAGTGCTTCATAGGCATTATTGTACTGAAATGAATCATGTGATGTGTTTACATTTTAAGCCACACTTGAAATTGAACACTCAATACAACCTTTTTAACGAAGAATCAGTCATAACAAAACATAACTATTCATTCTACGGATTATCATTTTGCCTAAAATGACCACTAGATATGAAAACCTTGCAGAGACATCTAGAGAGCCCCCCATTAAGTATTTTTTTAGAAAAATGACACAAGAATGCAAATGACATTTTCTTTCTCTTTACTAGTAAGAGACTGTGACATCCATTTGACAGAGCACCAGCCAACTCTACCAAGGTCATTTCAGCACCCTTTGCAACTCAGAACTGACCGTCTTTTACATTTAATCTGTCTCCTACAGGAATGGATAAAAATGGTTACGTCAAGTGCAGGAGTCAGCCTGTGTCAACCGGTGTGTATTTTGTATCGTGTTCCTAAATTAACACCATAAAATGAAAAATAAATACTCCCATGTGAATGAAACATACCCTTTGACAGTTATCACAAAGGCAAAAAATCAACTGACTTTCAGTCAGGACTAGTGTCTCAATGTCCATTTCTTTATTAATACATTTTATGGAAGTGTGTTAAAGGCATAGGTACAAACGCACACGTGAACAGCTTGCTTCTCTCCCAATACCTGCTTCCCTGGCTTTGCTCCTCCTTTTCATGGGATCAAGCTGCTGAGCTCTCAGCTCCATAAGCTGTGGAGCCTAGTAAGTATTTTAAACAAAGCAGATCTCATATCATTCTTTTCTGAGAAGACTACGGAAAGTAGTGAGAAAAGAGCATAGTGTGAAAAACAGAAACCATAGGATGTAATGTTCAAATCTAGAGAAAAGCTGGTTCATGATGATTGTTAGTCAACCATAAAGTAGGGGACAGACTGGAACCAGGACTGAAGAGGCAGGAAGGCCAGGGAGCCCCAGTGCGCCTGACAAAAGTGGGCATCTTCCAGACGAACAGTCTAGTTACGACCATCACGACAAACATTTTCACAAGGCTGTAAGCTCTTCAAGGCCGGGGATGGTGGCTTACTTATGTCTGTATCCCCACTTCTTAGCACCTTCCCTCACATGATAGATATTTAATACATATTTCTGGGAACCAGGGAACTGAGCTGAATCAGCTCACTGCTTTCAAAGCCATTTTGGGTGGTGCCTTCTCACGTAATTCATTCACTCCTCTGCCTAAGGCAGGGATGACAAATAGACTTCATCTCACTCTGATGCACTGGTAGTGGATGCCTGGAAGTATTAATGACACAGATTTTAAGACCAATTCCTGTCCAGGAGGGGAGGAGTGCCGCTCATTCACAATGCCTCCGTGAAAGAATGGTGGCACAGATGTTCTGTATTCCCACCCCTGGTGCAGGAGAAAGGCATCTAACGACTCCTCCATATTCCCATTCTGTTGCTATGCTGTCTCTCGGGTGCTCTGCACTAAGCCACTGCTTATTAAATGCTGGTCGACCAGGAAGGCCAAAGCCTTTCCACTTGATTTACCTGCGCAGCCAAACAGGAAGAGTCATGAATTTACCTGGAAATCTGAAAACACGGCATCCACACTGCTCAGTAATGGTTTACTGAAAGAGAACAGGCATTTACTTGATTACTCGCTCTGTAGAGAAAGAGCGTTGTCCATCTCAGTACAACTTTTATTGATATCTAAGGCATTTGGAATGACTTGGGATTTTGGCTCCAAAAAAATGGCAGAGTGCAATTCTCTTTGGTGTTCATGCTTAATCGACATCTACTTGCTTCTTCCTAGTATCCATAACCTTCTCAGCACTTCATGGTGAAGATTTAACAAATACGGTTGAAATAGTCAACTCCTACACATTCATCAGAAAAACAAAGGGAGAGGCCTCTGAAACTAAGGGTGCAGAAGAGAAAGCCAGAAAGAATGACAGGAAGAACCAACAACCTTCCTCTAACAATTCACACTCAGGACTCATTCTGCCATTCAGACCATTCTCAGTGAAATAGGCCGCTTCTGGCAGGGTGGCCACCGCTGGGGTCCTCCCAGTAACTCCCCTCCCTACAGAGAGGTCAGCGCCCCTCAGAAGCATCTCTGAAAAAGAGGAGAACATGTATAGAGAAAGAGAGGGAAACAAAGGGAGACTTTCAAAGCAACATTGCCTTCGTCACAGGTACAGCCTTTAGTGTAACATTGGCACCAGTGAGAGAACAGGGCTAAATTAAAATTACCCTCAAAATGCCAACACAGCTGATGTGTACAGCAGGAAGGATAATGTCCCAAATCCACAGATCTGTCCTACTGCACTTTCCACTTTGCCTACGTACCACTGGCAGCCCCGAGGAACAGTCTTGTTAGGAGTCTGCGTATCTTAGAGAGAGCTTAATATGCCAGATGCGTGCAAATGCAAACACACACACACACACACACACACACACACACACACACACACAGATGCACATACACACACACATCAAACCTGGTTTATACAAAGAGCTTTGTGGATCAGAGTATGCCTTCACTTGGTCCAAGCATCTAATTGTCAGCATTCGGAAAATGGACCCAAAGAATGTAATGAGGAAGAGAACTGGTTGGCAGGAATAATACTGTATTTTTTACAATGTGGGTATTTACGAGCTAATCTCCAATTGTTTGTCCAGAATTAATTCAACTGGCTAGAATCTTATGAATATATAAGGTTAAGCCTTAAAGATGTTAAGATCTGTAGTAACAAAAGTTAATGCTATCTAAAATAAATTAGATTTTTAAATATATGTAATGAAATTCTTGGTCACTGGAAATTCAATTCTATAATGAATATAAATTAATATAACTCTATTATTAAAGTACCATTTCCAGGAAGATTTCAGTTCAGAGTTGTTGTTTTTTTTAAAAAAGAAAAAAAAGGCTAAGTATTTGAGAACAAATGGATCTTAGAAACCCTTAAATAGTGTTGAAAGGAGAGTGCTGATAAGATTTGGCGACAAGATGCAAAGATCCGTCTCCAGGTCCGCAATAAAGACACCTCATTTTACCTAACAGAAGTATTCCTGAAAAGTTATGCAACTAGAATTTTTACAAGTAGATCCTAATTTTAAATATACCATAATATATGTACAGGACGCCACAGCTGCCCGGAAACCCTGTGGTGACTCCTTGGGTAAAGTGAAGCCTGTCAAGGTTACCGCCTCCTCTGTGACAGCTGCATGGTGAATGCATACTAGAGGCGCTCAGCACGTGCGCTGCGTGCATGAATTTGATGCAACAGTTTTTCTTTTTCTACGGGAGTTTCTTAAAGCGGGGCATGCTGAAACTGGAATGTTGGGACAGAAAGACAGGGTCCAGCTCACAGTTTAAACTCATTCCATCACAGAAAATCAGGGAATCTCAGAAAGTGTTTTTCAATGAAAATAAAATTTCTTTACGTGCGTGTATACAGGCGTATCTTGTTTCATTGTGCTTCACTTGATTGCACTTCGAAGATAATGCGTTTTTTTTTTTACAAATTGAAGATCTGTGGCAACCCCAGCTTGTCAGGTATAAGGGTTGGCATTTTTTAGCAATAGAGCATTTTTAAAGTAAGGTGTGTACATTGTTTTTCTAGATATAGTACTATTGCACACTTAACAGACTACAGTATAGTGTAAATATAACCGTTATACATGCTGGGGAACCCAAAAATTCTTGCAACTTGCTTTATTTGCTTGATTACAGTGGTCTGGAACTGAACTATCTCCGAGATATGCCTGTATATTTTTAAAGAAATGCTGATCTGTAACTGGCAGAAGATTGGATTCGTTAACTGACTTACTGTAAACAACTGCTTGAGCTGGGTTCCACTTGATTTACCAACCAAGGCAAGCAGAGCACCTTACCAGATTCCAGGAATCCTACCAGATGCCATCCCATCTCTGTAGGGGCTTCTTCCCCTCTCTCCAGCACAAACGTTTCAAAGCTACGCTGACCTTACCCCACAAAAGCAAAGCATGAATTAAAAAGCCAAGATTAAACTAGAAAGGTGCCTGACGGAAATACAAAGTTACTGTTTCAAACTAAAAAATAAGAACTAAGTCAAATACAGTCAATAAAAGTAACTCTCAAAGGCATTTTTCCTGTTATTTGGTGCTTCCTTTCCTTCCCACTTAAATGTAAGACTCAATTTTAAAAACACAGAGATCTGTTCTTTTAAAAGAACAGAATGAAACAATATATCCTCTCTTTTAAGAAATACAGAACACCTAGCAATACAACCTATCTGACCACATAAATCTGCAATCTGCTACATAAATGAAATAAGAGGTTATATACCTTCCTATTTACTCAGCATTCATAACTGTAAAAAAAGACTAGAAAAATAGCTGAGAATGTTTTTATGCAGGTTTTGGGGAGGACTGGATACTGGTTCCACTGGTGTAAGTTTCCTGGGAAGTCGTGTGCAAATAAAATATACGAACATAGAACCTATTTTAAATACACTGCAATATATGCGGGTGTGACCGGGGGAGAAAAACAGTGTTAATATGTTTGTCAAGTAAATTAATAACCAAAAGAATAATCTCTCACTTAAGGTATCAATGATATTTCAAGTGACCTAAATAAAACTGATTTTAAAATCACCTTTACCATTCATGCCAATTATTGACTTTGGCCCTTTACCAAGCAGGCACAATGAATATTCTTTTTGAGGATCCGTTTCAGTCACCAGCCGAAGGGTATCACATTTGTATGAAAACATTATCGTGGATTTGCTCCTATAATTTAAAAATCAATAATTAAAAAAATAATAAAGTTGGTCTCTTTTTTCCACAAGTTTTCAAGTAATTAGTTCAAGTAAGCGCATTTACAGCTTTTGTATAAATGGCCTAAAACCCACATTTTCCCTTTAAAAATCAGTCTCTCTCGAAATTGGACATTGTTCTTTTGTTTTTTGGTCTTGAACCAGGTTTCTTTTAAATACTAAGTCGATTCAGTCATGTCTCTGCTTTATTGGGCAGATAAAGTGAGGAGACCAGCAAGTTGTGTCCAAAGGCTGGGAAACGCCTAAAGGCTTCCCAGCTATCCGAAAAGATGTTGTACTTGAGGAAGACTCGGTGTTCCAAGCTCGTGGACAGGGTCACGTCTCTGCTCATGATGTAGATGCCGTCATTATGAAGCGCGCACGTCAAGTTGAGGCCCGACTTGGACGTGTTCTCCTTGAGGTAGAGCCACTGGCGGGTGACAGTGTTGTAGGACTGCACGGTGAGCATGTCCTCGCTCTGGCTGCCCCTCCGGGTCGGCCCCAGCTCGTGGAGGCAGCCCCCCACGATGTAGATGGTCTCCTCCACGGACACCATCTGCTGCTTGCGGATGTGGACGTCGCACGTTTCAAAGAGCGTCCAGGTGTCAGCAGTGGGGCAGTACTGCAAGATGTTCAGGTTCCGGTCTGAAAGGCAGGAAGAAGCCGCATGATGACACAGCGACCGGGAGCAAGGCCGGCTGCCTGGGCTGGACATACACGCCTACCTCCACCTGAGTGATTGACTAACACAGAGGCAAAACTACTTCGGGAAAGTCGAGGTTGGGGAAACAGTTTTCGAAATGGCTGGGAGGAGATCCGTGCAGGATCATCCCCACTGGACTGCCGCTCGGCTACGGCTGGGAGGCTGCCAGAGTCGGTCAGGCCAGGCCAGGGAGATGAGCCGCTGTGACGGAGCACCCCCTCCTCCCTGGGACCCTTGCACCTTTGACAACCACCAGGCCAGCGCACAAAGAATCCGAGCCTCAGAACCCTCATCAGTATCTACAGAATGACGGACTGCTTAACGCAGACGACTGGCAGAGCCCAAGAGGATCTATCCTTGACAGCAGATTCTACAAAACGAGCCAAGCGAGCCGGGCAGGATCTCTGGAGCTGTCTAAAGGAAAGGACGCAGAGCTGCATGTCAGGAGAGATGCAAGCAAATCTCACCTCTGACCTTCAAGCCACAGAATCATTGGCAATTCTGTTTCCCAACTGTAACACCAGAGACACACTGGCAAAGGCCGTTCCCCCTTCCCCACCCCTGTTTCACAAGAGATGGTTAATTATTGAGTGGATAAAATCGGATGGTAGATGGAAGACTACCCTGACATCATTTTGAATAGCTTTTCCAAGGAAAATGATTGCCTACTCTCTTTTTGAAAAATGCTTGTGAAATTTAAAATATCTAGTTTCATTTTTCTTTTTTTTTAATCGTTCTTTTTTTTTTTTCTCCTTTCCTCCTCAAGGAAAGAATAAATGGAATATTTTAGACTGAGAAAAAAAAAAACTAAAAATGTTTTGAATGAGCCAAAATAATGAACTTTCTGTTTGTTGTTGTTTTTTAAACAACAAAATCAGTGTAAGAGACAGCCCAGCTTGGGAACTGATGTCCAACTAAAGCGCACAGCCTTGTGATGGCTGCAGAAGCTGGGAGGAGTACTTCCTCCTGAGACAGAAGGACCCACTCACCATGGGCAGTAATTAGAGCTCCACTGTGCTCTCTGCTACCAAGTCAAGTGTCTCCTAAGAGGGCACAGAGGGAAGCGAAAGGAGTCCAGATCCTGTGTGTGCACCAGTCCGGAGCCTGCAGAAATGTCAAAATTGTTACAGCTTCTGTTTTCCACCAAGACTATGATGACCTCCCGCTCCTTCGTTTCTCTGTAGCGATTGTGATACAGCTCATCCTAGGAGTCAGCCCTAGGGAGTCTGGTTACTAATCTATCCAACTAGTGCCCCTTAGTAACCTGGCTCCCCACCCCACGAATAAAGGACTTATTCTAGCAAAGCTTCAATGTATTTATTTCTCAGGTCCAGGTCTGAAGGTCCTTCCAGGTCTTCTGTAAATGTTTTCTCTCCTCACCCAACAAGGGCTCAGACCATGATGAGGTCGTTTGAGTTGGCGGAAAGATCTTTCTGCTTTTACATTTAGAGTTGATTCTGATATTTAACAAATCACCTTTCTTCCCTTTAGCGGTTACTACTACTTTCTATCGAATTTCATTTCTTCAGTGCCGGCCAAAGAATTAAAATAATCAAAGAGCTATCATAAAAATCACAAACTATTCCTTACTAAATTTTAAAAGTCTCACCTAACGTAAGAAGTCGGCAGGCCACGAAGCCAAGCTTAAGTCCTGAATTTTTTTTTTTTATGACAATTATGACTTCTTGTTTTCAAGACAAGGAATTATTAGGAAGTGCTGGGAAGAGCCCAAGCAGAGGAGGAGGGGGGCTTCAGAGGATGAGGAACTGTCCTGCCCTCCCATCGTAGAAAACTCGTTTTCAGTCCTTATGCAAACAGTCATCCGTCCGCAGCACCTAACCATCCCATCGTGGGGATTTGGCTCGGGGAAGCCGGGACAGGAATCACAGTGGGTGGCCCAAGTCAAGAAGGCACTTTAGTAGCGGCTTGTGAAACTAGAAAACACACAAGCAAGGGTTTTCCAGGTCAAATACAAAGAACATTTGCTCAGCCAGGGTCATGGAAAAACTAGGAAATCTACCAGCTGCACAGTCTTCAGGTTACAGTGCTGCCTGTCAGTGCTTCCCAGCTCCTGGCTAGAAGAGAAGCCAAGGGATATGTGTGCATTGGGTCAGCCCACAGGGCGCATTCTGTGTCACAAAATCTAGGGAGGAATCAGAATTCTTAGAAAGGTGCAAAAGTAAATAACTGTATTTACTTTCCTAGGAGAGAAGACACACAGATACACATAGAGGTACATATGCATGCACAGGAATTCTCCCGGGTCTATGGTTTAGTTAAGTCTATAAAGTTGACCACTGTAACCTGAACCACCAACGTTGAAGGTGAAAGAAATGACTGCTAGGTCTCATTTTCTTTCAATTATCCGTAAAGGAAAAGCTGACAATTATCTTATCATCAGTGGAGAGTCACTAGGGACAAGTAATGAAAACTTGGAGTGAAAAAGAAAAAGCCTCACTGTTCTCCTCTTCCCATGTCACCACTGCCTCTTCTTAAATGCATAAATAAACACACCACCTGTAGAAAGCTGAATGGTGACCCCTTGAAACATATGTTCATCTTCTAACCCCCAGAACCTTTGAATGTGACTTTTTTTCGGAAAAAGGGTCTTTGCAGATGTAATTTAGTTAAGAATCTCAAGACGAGGTCATCCTGGATTACCCAGCTGGGCTCTAAATCCAATGAGATGCGTGTCTTTATAAGAGACAGAAGAGGAAGACACGGATACACACAGAGGAGACAGAGGCAGGGATTGGAATCATGCAGCCTCTAGCCAGGGAACACCTGGTGCCACAAGAGCCGGGAAGAGGCAAGGAAGGTTTCTGCCCTAGAGCCTTCAGGGGGAGCGTGATCCTCCTGACACCTTGTCTTCAGACTCCTGGTCTCCAGAACTGTGAGAGAATACATTTCTGTTGCTTTAGGCCACCAAGTTTGTGGTCATTTGTTAAGTCAGCCACAGGAAACTAAAACACCACCTACCGCCCTCCCCACCAATCAACTGTTTAAAGGTACTCTAAGAAGTGTTCATCAAAATCTTTTGCTGTGGGCTTCCCTGGTGGCGCAGTGGTTGAGAATCTGCCTACCAATGCAGGGGACACGGGTTCGAGCCCTGGTCTGGGAAGATCCCACACGCCGCGGAGCAACTAGGCCCGTGAGCCACAACTACTGAGCCTGCGCATCTGGAGCCTGTGCTCTGCAACAAGAGAGGCCGCGATACTGAGAGGCCCGCGCACTGCGATGAAGAGTGGCCCCCGCTCGCCGCAACTAGAGAAAGCCCTCGCACAGAAACGAAGACCCAACATAGCCAAAAAATAAATAAATAGCGTTCCCTTTAAAAAAATAAAATAAAATAAATGAAAAAAAAATCCCCACAGTAATAATTAAAAAAAAATCTTTCGCTGTCACCAAAAAAAAAAAAAAAAAGTAAATCAGATGCTCATAAAATACCTTACATTTAACTTCTTCCTCAAACATATATCCGCAAAACAAGACACATCTGGTTATATTGAAAAGAATTTTCGGCACCTACTTCATATTATTATTATGTGGATTTCTGTTCTTTGCAAAGTTATAAATGGTCACATACAGCTTCGTGGGGCCATCAGCACACGCCTGTTATCAGCCAGGGCTGGAGAGCTCTGTCCTGCCCATATCACATTCTAAAAGTTCTGGGCATTATACAGTCAGACAGAACAAAAGAAGAAATAGGGCTTCCCTGGTGGTGCAGTGGTTGAGAGTCCGCCTACCGATGCAGGGGACAGGGGTTCGTGCCCTGGTCCGGGAGGATCCCACATGCCGTGGAGCGGCTGGGCCCGTGAGCCATGGCTGCTGGGCCTGTGCGTCCAGAGCCTGTGCTCCGCAATGGGAGAGGCCACAACAGTGAGAGGCCCGCGTACCGCAAAAAAAAAAAAAAAAAAAAAAAAAAAAAAGAAGAAATAAACTGCCTTGGCCATGAGATAACTTAGAAACAACTGCTTCAAGGGAAGGAAAGAGATAACAGGAAAGACACACCTCTTCCTGGTGGTCCACCATTGCCTTTCTTACTGTTAATAATAGAAAACCAAGTAACAGAAAACCAAGCTGTGAGATGCTTCCTACCAAGACCAGCAGTATAAAACCTCTGGAGAAACTTTTTATTTCCACATCATTAACTATAAAATGCCCACCCACAAAAGTGAAAAACACATATGTACGGTTTAATAAACAGCACAACCCCTTCCCATCACTGGTCAGGAAAGAATTCTCTTCATGTACTTGCTCCTTCTATGATATGGGAACAACCGCCTGGAGCTGAATTTCTGGAATCTGTATCTGATATGCTTGTGCCCAAACACAAGGGGGAAAGTGAAAACAAAGATCTGCAAGAATGCTGCGGCACTAAGTTCCCTAGTGTTGGACGGGCAGATTCAGTGTGCGTTTGGGAGAAGGGTGGGAGTTACCCAGCCAAGTCACAGGACGGCTGACCACAAGGTGGGGTTTCCAAAGCAGGAAGAAAGTACATTTTGTTCACAGCTCCCCTTCCCCCTTTCAATTTTCATGCTCACACAAAGGCATCAAAGGCCCCTCCTCTCCAAACTGCCCCTGTCATACAGGATGCTCTTTTTTCCAGATATGTAAATATATACTATGTAATACATAAAATCACACTAGAGGGTTTCCTCCAGCCCCTCCTGCCCTTTCCCAGGCTGCCAAAGCTCACGTGTAGGAGGACCACTTACTAGGCCCCTTTACTTACCTCTCGTAGTGTATCCTCCAATGACATAAATTTTCCCCTTACACTCACACGCAGAAAACTCAGCCAGAGGGTTTGGTAAGGGTGCCACGAAATTCCAGGCATCTTGCTCAGGGCTGTAACATTCAACGTTAGAAACGGCCTGCCCACCAATGGCATAGAGTTTTGAATTAACAGCCACGAGTTTGAAGTTAGACCTGAAAGAGAGACACAAAGGCCCACAAAGTCAGTTCTTTTGATCATTCAGAAAACAGGGACTTCCCTGGTGGTCCAGTGGTAAAGAATCCACCTTACAATGCAGGGGACGCAGGTTCGATCCCTGGTCAGGGAACTAAGATCCCACATGCCTCGGGGCAACTAAGCCTGTGCGCCACAACTACTGAGTTCACACGCCTCGACGAGAGAGCCCGCATGCCGCGAACTACAGAGCCCAGGCGCCCTGGAACCCGCGCGCCACAACTAGAGAGAGAAAACCCACACGCCACGACTAGAGAGAAGCCCACGCACCACAACGAGGAGTCCGCGTGCCGCAACTAAGACCCGACGCAGCCAAAAACGTAAATTAAATAAATAAATAAATGATAATTTAAAAAAAGAAGTAAGACAAAACGGACTTTCCCAGTCCAGTGGTTAAGACTCCGCACTTCCAATGGAGTGGGCACTGGTTTGATCTCTGATTGGGGAACTAAGATCCCGCAAGCTGCACGGCGCAGCCAAAAATAAAATGTACAGCTTTTGAAAGCAAAAAATTAAGACAGTATAAACCAGAAAAAAGAAGTAAGACAATGGCATGATCTGCTAAAGCAGCGTGAGGAATCTGCTGGATATTTGAAGGAAATGAGCTCTCCAATTTGGGTGCTATTCTGCCTGGGGACAAAGGAATGACTGAACGGCATCTCAAATTTCACTCTTGTCCCCAAGAATCCACAAGTTTGGTGCATTCTCCAAACTTTAGCTATTGAAGATAAGCATTTTTCAATATAACAAGGACTAATCTTGCTTTGCTTAAACCAAGAACCACTTTGTATATGCTAAACTCAATACCTCTACACTTCAATAAAAATAAATTTAAAAAGATACTTCAATAAAAAATAGAAAAAAACCCACATTGTAAATCAACTACACTTCAAAATTAAATAAATAAAATAAATTCAATACCTCTTCCAAGAGTGGGAGCAAGTACCCACCCCATTCCCTTGCCTCTCTCTATTCCCAGTGGGTAGGCTCCATCCTAGGTACACACCAGTGCTTGCCTACACAGACAAGCACATGCAAAGGTTGTTTGCTACAGGGTGGTCCAGACACCCCTTTACCATGAGTTCACCTAAGCAGATCACTCACCCATCCTCCTCGATATGAGGGCGTCTTCTATATTGCTTCACAACATATAAGGTAGGGGGAGGTAAGCACTGAACTAATTAAAACTATTTTGATCTGGCATTCTTAGGGTATTCACACATGTTAACTCAACAAATACCTCTATCAACAAATGATCACCTATAACAAGAGTAAATAATTTTAAAAAGAGAAATGCATTGGTTTTAAGACCCATATTCAGTAATACAACTAAACTCTGCTTATCGGCTTCAGATGCTAAATAAAAGCCTCATGACTTTTGAATTGAAAAGAAAAAAATTAATTCCTTTCAATGTAGTACATAAAGATTAATGGACTCTTTGAAGGCCAGGAAGGATATAAGCATTTGGAAGTGCTGGGTCAGCTGACTGTGATACGTGCAACCATCTCAAGTTTACAGTAATACGAGCAACTTCGTATTACTGTAGGAGCAGGAGACCTGCTTCTAGACCCGCTCTGCTGATAACCAGCTATCTGACCTTTGTCTCTAGCGTGGGGACCATACCCATCACAGGGTGGTCGAGACAATTACACCACACAGCTTATCAGAAAGTACTACACAGAGAAAAGATACCATCACTAAAATTTCTCAGTTTTCTAGTGTTTGAAATAAAGAAGCTAGACCTGGTGAATTTAGAGGCCTCATCTAATGCCAACACAATGAGTTCTTCAAAAGTAACAACATCCTAAGAAAGAATGGGGGGTAGAGGCTCCAAATGGAAAAAGCATGTAAGAGGGTAGATTAAAAAGCAGCAATGAACAAGTAGCCATGCCTGATCTCCTGACAGATGTTTAATAAACAGTGGTGCATTATGATCTAGAACATATGTTAGTAATAGTCACCTACTAAAAAGATTTTTTTCAAAGGTCCCTGTAATGTTTACATTACATTAAAAATGAGTTTTAGCTTAGTTTTGTTTTTCAAATCAGAGAGTAAATAGGGTACTCTTCATCAAGAGCCTCATATTGTCCACTAAGCTCAGCCAGCCACTCAGTTTTTCATGCCAATAGACTTCAGCGGGGTGGCAGTTACTGGGAGGTCCTTGGTTCATGTCGCTTACCTTTCCTGCTGCCAATGGTCCTTAAAATCTGACCATGATGCCCTCTCTGTGTGTGCAAATTTGGGGATCCGAAGGAAATAAAGCTTAAAATTTTACCAGCCCACAATCTGTGTTTGCTTCCCAAAGGTACACAGATAGTAAATTTTGTAAGATCAAAACAGTTTTTGATATTCCTCCAGCGTAATCATTTGTCCTAAGCAATATGTAAGGGGCTTCTCTCTGAGGCTGAACGAATAGGCAGTTAAAAGTAAACAACTCTGTCTCTCCAGATCCCAACATGCTCAAATTCACTTGAAAAGAGAAACACTTTTCCAATATTGAATTTGTTTTATGATGCAATTGCCTCCCAAAAACAGGCCACTTGATGAAGAGGCAGACTGCCAAGGATTATGAACCCAGGCTTGTACAGGGAAGTCTCAGCTCCCCTACTCAACAGCTCTGTGAGCTTGAACAAGTCATTAAATCTCAGTTGATCTGAGTCTCAGTAGGGAAAAGAAAAGCACGTTGTAAGAGTTGAAAAGGGTAACTTGCAGAAAGGGGTCACTAGAGGGAATGCTTGCCTGCATGTCACTGCCTACATTTCTTAACCTCAGGAGGATGGGTTTCTCATTTGTCAACTGCAATAGTCACTGGCTGTAATGGACAAAGTGCTGGACTTCTGTACAAAGTGCTTTCGCTTCCATAAATTCTTGCCTTTTCCCATTTTCTGAAAATAACTTTTCTACTCTTCACATTCTGAAGGGTAAAGGTATGAATCCAAGCTATCACTTATTTTTAAAAAGTATCACCTCTACAGTGTTTTCTTTCTTTTTTTTTTTATAAATTTATTTATTTATTTTTGGCTGCGTTGGGTCTTCGTTACTACACGTGGGCTTTCCCAGTTGCGGTGAGCGGGGGCTACCCTTCTCATTGCAGTGGCTTCTCTTGCTGTGGAGCACGGGCTCTAGGCACGCCAGCTTCAATAGTTGTGGCACACAGGCTCAGTAGTTGTGGCTCATGAGCTCTAGAGCGCAGTCTCAGTAGTTGTGGCACACGGGCTTAGTTGCTCCACGGCATGTGGGATCTTCCCGGACCAGGGCTTGAACCCAATGTCCCCTGCATTGACAGGCGGATTCCTAACCACTGTGCCACCAGGGACGTCCCTACAGTGTTTTCTTAATATTGATCCCTGACATACTCCATTCAGGAGGCAAAAAGAATTTTAAATCAAATAACGATTTGTTGTAGCTACATACTTGACTTACAGTAAATAGAAATGAAAGTGAGAAAACTGAGATGACGATCTAATTTCTACTTCACTTAGAAGAAATAAAAAGCTTTTGAAATCCTTAAAAGCTGAGTAACACGAACCAAGCCAACCACCAGCACACAGGTATCAAAGACTAACAAGAGCTATTGTAACCATCAGAAGGGCAGGATGATTCGGGGTCTGAGTGGCTTAGAGTGCGGGCCCTGTGATATGTGCAAGTTAATGAAACTCACTGAGCCTCAGTTTCCCCTTTGGGAAAATGGGGCCAATAATAATGCCCATCTCAGAGAGCAGGACATAGGGAGGACATCTAAAGTAGTGACCACGACGCGCAGCCCTGAGTGACAGCTCAAGATGTAAACCACTGTTAGGATTTGTTGCTTAGAAAAGTTGTTACCATTAGGGTAAAACTTAGAATAAAAGGCAAGCTCCTTTCCCTAGCCCTTTCTCCAGCTCTCCGGGGAGGACTGTGCAGCCTGTGGACCATCAGGGCCTTTTGTCTCCTCTTTCCCCTCTGCCACTTCCCCCAAGCATTACCCTCCCCTAGGGACCAGGGAGGGGAGAAGGGAAGGTTAGGAGACAGAAAAAGTCATGGTTGGGCTTCCCTGGTGGCGCAGTGGTTGAGAGTCCGCCTGCCGATGCAGGGGACGCAGGTTTGTGCCCCGGTCTGGGAAGATCCCACATGCCGCGGAGCAGCTGGGCCTGTGAGCCATGGCCACTGAGCCTGCGCGTCCGGAACCTGTGCTCCGCAACGGGAGAGGCCGCGACAGTGAGGCCCGCGTACTGCAACAAAAATGGTCATGGTTGCTCCCTACTACCTACCACCTCTGAGCAAACCTAATGCACAAAGGAGTTTAAACTGCTGGCCAAAATTATACTGGGGGGAGGTGAATAGACATATAGTTTACTTCATACTATACTTGTGCTCCACTGCAATCAACCACAGAGGACAAAATCTCTCGAAGGTTTCATGCCTCTAAAAATGCTCTAAAATACTAAACTTTGGCTCAGAGGAAAGGGGACAGTCAAAGCTGACAACTGTAATTCCTTCTCTGCCGGGAGACTTGTTTGTTGGTTTCTCTCCCAACGTTGCTGTGTTCACACACAGAACAGGATGGCACAACACGACTCCGATTTCAGAGCAAGGGTGCAAGGCAACAGAAGATACTAGAGATAACTCTAGAAATAGAGAAATTAATGAACTGATGGCTGCAACAGTGCCAGTTCCTGCAAGTTATTGCTAATTAAAGTGAGGAAGGGAAGCAAGCAACTCCGTGGGCACACAAGCCTTTACACGTAAAAAGTTATGTCCTGACAACTCCTGAGATCAAATTCACGTTCAGACCACCGGGCAGTGTTGTGTACTTGGACTTCAAAGCAGCCTCTCCAACAGTGCTGTGTACTCACACTGCTCTTTTCAAGTAGTGAGTACAGCACTAAACGTTTCTTTGTGTTTTTTGTTTGTGTTTGTTTTTGCACCATTTTCTCCAGGGTGCAAAGGGCTTTATAAAATCTCCCAGTCCCAGAGTTC